ACCTGTACAATGAAAACATCATGTACTTTTAATTCTCTGCTCGGCCACTTGCCAGCTATGAGACCTGAAGATAAGGTATTAAAACCCTTGAGTTAGAATGAGATTAGTATATGTCTCATTGGGTTGTCATGATAACCAGTTGAGTTAAATAATAAACCCAGAAACCCATTGCCATTGAGTCAATACTGACTTATGGCGACCCTGTAGGACAGAGTAGAACTGCCCCGTAGTGTTTCCAAGGCATTTACAGAAGCAGACTGCCACATCTTTCTCCCGAGCCACTGGTGGTTTCAAATAGATGACCTGTCCATTAAAAGCCAGTCACTTAACCACTGTGCCACCAGGGTTTCTTAATAGTTAATTATAGCTAACACTTCCTATTACATGCTTATTGCACAATTCTAAGTGCTTTATATATATTCATTCATTTAGTACTTGTAACAGCGCTATGAGTTGCGATATGTCCTTTGATTTCTTCACTGCTGCTTCCATGAGAGTTGATTGTAGATCCAAGTAAAATGAAGTCCTTGACAACTTCAGTCTTTTCTCTGTTTATCATGATGTTGCTTATTGGTCCATTCATGAGGATTTTTGTTTTCTTTATGTTAAGGTATAATTCATACCAAAAGCTTTAATCTTTGATCTTCAGCAGTAAGTGCTTCAAGTCCTTTCCATTTGCAGCAAGCAAGGTTGTGTTGTCTGCATATCGCAGTTGTTAATGAGTCTTCCTTCAAACTTGATGCCATGTTCTTCGTATAGTCCAGCTTCTCAAATTATTTGCTCAGCATACAGATTGGTTAAGTATGGTGAAAGGATACAACCCAACACATACCTTTCCTGATTTTAAACCATGCAGTATCCCCTTTACTGTGTTCATACATCTGCCTCTTGATCTGTATACAGGTTCTGCATGAGCACAATTAAGTATTCTGTAGTTCCCAATCTTCACAGTGTTATCCATAATTTGTTATGATTCACATAGTCAAATACCTTTTCATGGTCCATAAAACACAGGTAAACATCTTTCTGGTATTTTCTGTTTTCAGCCAAGATCCATTTGACATCAGCAATGCTATCCCTAATTCTATGTCCACTTCTGAATCCTACTTGAATTTCTGATGGTTCCCTGTTGATGTACTGCTGCAACTGTTTTTAAAGTATCTTTAGCATGCTAAATTTTACTTACGTGTGATATTAATGATATTGTTCAAATAATTTGTGCTTTATGTTGGATCACCTTTCTTTGAAATGGTCAGAAATATGGATCTCTTCCTGTCGCTTGACCAGGTATCTATCGTCTTCTAAATCTCTTGACTTAGATGAGCGAGCACTTCCAGCATTGCATCCATTTGTTGAAACATCTCAGTTGGTATTCTCTAAATTCCTGGAGCCTTATTTTTCACCAGTACTTTCAGTACAGCTTGGATTTCTTCCTTCAATACCATTGGTTTGGGTGAAAGTGTACAGAGCAAATCAGTTTCCCATTCAACAATTTATACACGTTTTGTTTTGTGACATTAGTTGCAATCCCCTCAGTGTAACAGCACTCTTCCCATTTCCTCCCTGGGTGGTTCTTTCCATTTGCCCACCTTTCCTGCCCCTTCCTGCCTTCTGAACTTTGTTTTTGGGCAAATGCTGCCCTTTTGGTCTCATATGATTGATTGTTCTGAGAAGCATGTTCCTGATGTGTATTATTGTTCCCTTTATAGGCCTATCTATTGTTTGACTGCAAGGTCCTGTCTTAGAGTGGGTTCAGTGCCAGGTTTGAGGGGTGTCTAAGCACCATAGCCTTAGAGTTTCCATCAGTCTCAGATTAGTAAGTCTAGTCTTTTCTGTGATTTTGAATTTTGTTCTAAATTTTGTTCTCCCATTCTGTGCAGGACCCTCTTGTGATCCTGATCAGAGGGGTCGGCAGTGGTAGCTGGACACTGTCTAGTTCTTCTGGTCTCAGGCTAGTGGAGGCTGTGGTTTACGTGGTCCATTAGTCCTTTAGACTAGTTTTTTCTTTGAGTTTTTTATTTTTTTCGTTCTTCTTGACTGGAAGAGACCATCTTAGATGGCCACTCAAAAGCTTTTAAGGCCAAAGTAGGATGTAGAGAAAGTCTTTATGGACTATGTTATACCAGTTGATCTAGATTTCCCTGAAGAGCGTGGTCCTTAAACCCAGTGATTCGGTCCCTCAGTATACCATTGGTTCTTGACCATATGCTACCTCCTGAAGTAGTTGAATGTTGACCAGTTCTTTTTGGTACAGTGACTATGTATTCCTTCCTTCCTTCTATTGATGGTCTCTGTATCGTTCAACATTTTGCTCTTAAAATCCTTCAGTATTGCAACTTGAGGCTTGAGTTTTTTCTTTAGTTCTTTCAGTTTGAGAAATGCTGAACATGATGTTCCTTTTTGGTTTTCTAACTCCAGGTATTTGCACATTTCATTGTAATTCTTTACTTTGTCTTCTCCAGCTGCCCTTGGAAATCTTCTGTTCAGCTCTTTTTATTTCCATCATTTCTTCCTTTTGCTTTAGCTACTCATATTCAAGAGCAAGTTTCAGAATTTCTTCTGACATCCATTTTGGTCTTTCTTCCTGTCTTTTTAACGACCTTTTGCTTCTTAATGTATGAAGTGCTTGATGTAATCCCACAACTCATGTGGTCTTTGGTCATTAGTATTCAGTGGGTCAACTCTGTTCTTCAGATGGTCTTGAAATTCAAGTGGGTTATAAGCAAGGTCATATTTTGGCTCTTGTTGACTCATTTTAATTGCCTTCAGCTTCAGCTTGAATTTGCATATGAGCAATTGATGGTCTGTTCTGCAGTCAGCTCTGGCCTTGTTCTGACTGATGATATTGAGCTTCTCCTTGTCTTTCCACAGAGTGGTCAGTATTATTCTCGAGTCTCCTGTCTGGTGAGGTCCATGTGTATACCATTTATGTTGTTGAACATTAATAAGTTGTTGGTCTTGCAAAATTCTGTCATACTGTCTCTGGCATTGTTTCTATCACTAAGGCCACATTTTCCAACTACTGATGCTGCTGCTTTATTTCCAACTTTTGCATTCCAACCCCAATAATTATCACTGCGTCTTTATTGTATGTTTGATCAATTTCAGATGCAGAAATTGGTAAAAATCTTTAATTTCTCCATCTATGGCATTAGTGGTTGATGCATAAGTTTGAATAATAATTATATCAACTGGTCGTCTTTGTAGATATATGGATATTATTCTGTTATGGACAGTGTTGTACTTCAGAATAGATCTTGAAATGTTCTTTTTAACCATGAATGTGACACCATCTTTCTTCAATTTGTCCTTTCTGGCATAGTAGACATTATGATTATCCACTTCAAAATGTCCTAAACCAGTTCATTTCAGCTCAGAAATGCCTACAATATCTATCTACATGCATTCTATTTCATTTTTGATGACTTCCAATTTTCCTAGATTCGTACTTGGCACATTCCATGTTCCTGTCATTAATGGATGTTTGCAACTGTTTCTTCTCATTTTGAATCCTGCCAATATCAGAAAATGAAGGTCCTGAAAGTTTTACTCCATCCATGTCATTAAGGTCAACTCTGTTTTGAGGAGGCAGCTCTTCCCCAGTTGTATTTTGAGTGCCTTCCAACCTGAGGGATCTTCCAGTACTGTATCAGACAATATTCTGCTGCTATTCATAAGGTTTTCACTGGCTAATTTTTTCAGAAATAGATTGCCAGGTCCTTTTTCTTAGTCTTGCTTAGTCTGGAAGCTCTGCTGAAACCTATCCACCATGGGTGACCTTGCTGGTATTGGAGATACCAGTGGCATCGCTTCCAGCCTCATAGCAACACAAAAACCCCTGCAGTAGGACAAACTGACAGATGAGTGGTAGGAAAACACATGTGTTACGTTAATAGCCCAAACTCTTAGTAAGTAGAGGAAATGAATCTTCTAAAACGTTAATTAATTGTTTTTGTGTTTTTCAGGCTGACATTTTAGATGTCAACCAGATATTTAAAGATTTGGCTATGATGATCCATGACCAAGGTGATCTGATTGGTATGTATTAGTGATACCTTTAACCCCAAGGTGGATCGATAGTATTTGTGTACATAGAAGTCAGTAAGACATATCAGCTATAGAAAGTTTAGAAATACCACTTTAAAAAAAATCACTAAGCTTATTTGTTGTCAAATGTAGAAATTATGGTGAGACCTCCTTGAATACTCAGCCCCATTCACTTGCCAGAGCCTCTGATATATCTTTGACTGTTTGGGGAAAATAGCGTCAGCTTCCTAGTTTTTAGCTCCAGAAACTGGCACAATGTTGGATTTAGTAACAATAAGGAAAAAAGCTTTTGTATTTGGAAATTATTTCAAGTTTATGAAAAGTTGCAAAAAATGAAAACATTATAAGGAATTCTCTTATACCTTTTACTCAGATTCACCTCTTAACATTCTTCTCCATTTGCTTTATTATTTGCCTTCTCTTTCCCTCCCTCTCCCCCCCATATGTATAATTTCATAATTTTTTATGAACCATTTGTGGGTGAGCTGCATAGTTCATGGTCCTTTATCCTGAAATACTTAATGTTTATTTCCAAAGAGTAGAGCTATTCTCTCTCTCTCTCTCTTTTTTTTTTAATCTTCATTTCTTTTTTTTTTTTTTTATTGTGCTTTAGGTGCAAGTTCACAGAGCAGAATTTGTTTTACATTCAACATTATGTGTACATTTATTTAGTTTTACTCCCCGTTTACCATCCCCAACCCTAACCCAGTCTCCTCCTCTCCCTGCCCAGTAATCCCCCTCCCCCTGTGCCCCTCATAGTTACGCACTCCTGTGTGTCCTGCATTTCTTCCGTGCGAATGTTGACCCTCTGGTGCCCTGTGGTCAATTGCTCTTAAGGGATGCATTTCCATATAGTATGTGGGTATGTCACCCTGGGTTGAGTGGTCTGTGTGTACAGCTTGTTTACTATTGGGCTGAGAGCCGGTCCCTGGGAGTGAGTTTTATTCCAGGCCCAGAGTGTATCTCAGGGCCATAGTATTGGGGGTCTCACCAGACTCCATCTGACCAGTAATTGTGGTCATTTTTGAGTTTTTGGATTTTGTTCACTTTTTTCCTCCCACTCTATCCAGGATCTCCAGATTTGATCCTTTCCTGAGTGGTTGGCATTGGTAGCCAGGCACCATCTAGTTCTTCTGGTCTCGAGGGCCATCGTGTCCTAGGGTTGATTCCTTCCAAATGCCCTTTTTTTTGGGGGGGGGGCACTCTTCTTCACTTCCGATGATAGGAGACCATTAACTCCATCCTAGATGGCCGCTTGAAAGCTTTTGAGACCTCAGTTGCTACTTGCCAACGTAGGATGAGGAACAAGGCTTTTATGTATGTTGTACTGGTGCCCCCCAGTACAACTATGGTCCTGAGTTGGTAGATCCATTGGATCTTTCTCCCACAGTGTCTGGGTGTCTGTGAGGGATTGCTCTGTGTCTGTCTTCTGTTGTTTCTGTAAGGATTGCAGGTATTTTGTATCACTGGTGTCTGTGCAAGATTAGGCTCTGCTGAATCTATCCTTGGTCTAGAGTATACTCCTGTTCACTGACTCCCATCTCATCTTCTCAGATGTTTATGTGTTTATCTGTGGCCTGGTGTTTGGTGTTAATAGTAATGCAGTATTGTGGATATACTGGTTAGTATTAGCATCTGTTGTCTATCTCTTATGTGCACAATTCTGTGTCCTCCCTTTTCCTAATGTTATCATGGTGGTCACAGACTCTTTCTATACATTTCTCCCCTTACCCAGGTCAGCGTGTGGCCCCCAACTAGCCTGAAATTAATCTCTCCCCTTCTCTCCCCACCATGGTAACCTACAAAGTGAGTTCCCTTTCTTAAGCAAACCCTTCTTTATCTTTTTACAGTAATGGGCTCATACAGTATTTGTTCTTCTGTGATTTTGACTTATTTCACTCTGCATAATGTCCTCCAGGCTCATCCACATTGTGAGATGATTCGTGTATCCTTCATTGTTCTTAAATGTAACATAGTATTCTGTTGTGTGAATGTACCATAATTTGGTTATCCATTCATCCGTTGATGGGTATTTAGGTTGTTTCCATGTCTTTGCTATAGTGAATTGTGCTGTGATGAACATAGGTGTGCATATGTCTGTTCATGCTCTGCCTCTCACCTCTTTAGGATATATTCCTAGTAATGGAATTGCTGGGTCAAATGGTATTGAGTAGAGCTATCCTCTTACGGGGTTAGTAACTTTTGATTTCCTGGCTGGATAGTTGGGATGGTGATGTTGAAACCAGGATGTGTAACATCAGAAGTCTGCTAAATTATCAGTTTTAAAACACTAGAGTGTAGTAAAACATCCACTTATTCTTCTTTTTTGCAGATAGTATAGAAGCCAATGTAGAAAGCTCAGAGGTGCATGTTGAAAGAGCCACTGATCAATTACAGCGTGCTGCTTACTATCAGGTAAAAATAGGTACCAATGACGGGACACTCTAAGCTGCAGACTTCCTGGGCCATTGCAGTACACTAACACATTGGGAACAACTGTAGCTTCTTGCTTAGGCTTAAGCTGGAGGCAAGTAGTCAAAACTTCAGTCCCAGTTCCATTCTTAGTATTTTCCTTTGCAGAGAGATCTATGAAAGGCATCAAACCTTGAATAAACTTACATAGAAGCCACCTACCTACAAAGCCAATGGCCATAAGCTATAAGCTAGTCTGACACTTAAATCTTGCATAAGGCAAATCATATATCCTAAACAGCTGAAAATTGTTTTAGCTAGTATACTGATAGAGACATTAAAGTAGGGCTTCATAGATAATTTATGTTGACTGTTGCCACAGAGGATAGATGTAGAATCATCCTGTTATTTATCTATAAATAAACAAAATATACAAACACAAAAACCCCATTGCTTTCAAATCGTTTCTACTCATGGTGACCCTATGTGTTATAGAGTGGGACTGCTCTATAGGATTTTCTTGGCTATAATCATAGCAGAAGCAGGTCTCCAGTATTATTAGTACCTGAGCACAAACCTAGGGCTCAAATGAATAAATAGGGTTAATTATGGAAGTGTTTCTATAAAGTGAGATTCTGCATAGTAGTTGAAAATCTAGTTTTATGACTTTTATTTGGGGCTTCATCTCAAATATTGTGAATAAGACTCTTCTCCTCCCCCTCAATTTGTTATTGTGTGGCCTTTTAGAAATAAATAGCACCTCATTCATTTCTCGTGTTCCCAGGTTAGCTGTATTTCCCCTGGAAATGTTCTTAAAGAAAAGTGTACTTAATAACAGTATATTCCTTTTAAAACCATGTGATGACTTTAGTGTCAAACAGTAGAGGAATAATTAAATAAATTATATACATCCACTCAATGCTATATTATGTGAGCATTAAAAGAGATGTTTATAAAGAGTTTATAATCACAGAAAATTTTTATGCTAAAACATGAAGTGTGAAAAACAGGAAACCCCATATAGTATGATCCCAAGCATGTCACATAACAATACATACAGATAAAAGATCAGAAAGACATAGAATGTCAACAGTTTCATCTGTCATGATTATTTTCTTTTATCTGTAGATGATTATTTTCTTTCTACTTGTCTGTAATTTTTACAATGAACATAATATAACAGGCATAAAACTTTATTTAAAAACATGGGCAAATGTGCAAATAACTCATTTTGTTGCAAATAATGCTGAGTAGCATATATATAAGCAGCTCCTTTGAAAAATTGTGTTTGGAACCTGGAATTAGAACTTGCACTGCTACTGGCACTGGGGAACATTGAGAGAGTTTGGGAACATCTCTGCATATTCATGCATCGATAGAGTTAATTTTTAATTACAAGAAGGCAGATTTATGAAGCACTCCTGAAGTCTCAGATACTAAAAAAAAAAAAATCTTAACTTGTTTCATGAGTGCCTTTTTTTACATATTTCTTTCCTCAGAAAAAATCTCGCAAGAAGATCTGTATCCTGGTGCTTGTCCTGTCAGTGATTATTGCGATCTTGGGACTTATTTTCTGGCTAGTTTATAAGAAGTGATTGCCTCAGAGCCTTCTTCTGATGAGCTGTTTTCAAGGGCAAGGGCTTGTTGGAGTTTTGCCAGAACAAAGTGATCACAAGAAAAGACCATACACCAGAACGTCCTGTAATAATTTAGTTAGAAACTAACTGCTAACTAGTTCTTGGAATTAGTGACCTATGAAGACAGTATTTATCAATTTATGTATACATTTTATTGATTTCTCAAATTAGGAATTAACTTATGTGGATTTTGCTTTCTCTTGTATTTTGATTGCCCTTCATCCCAAGTGTATACTGAAGATTCCATTCTAGATGCTCTTGTTTTGACAGGTGACACTACAGTCTCATAATATTGTCTTTTTATATGTATACCACATTCACCTTTTCACTAGCAACTGAAATTACTTTCTGGCACCCAGCATATAGGAGTCTGTCAGAAACTGTATAATAAGCCAGCAATTTTTATTATTTAACATTTTAATTTGAATTTCCAAGAAGCCTATTCTCTATCTGCTTTGAAAGATTTTGGCACTGTATTTAACTGGAAAGTAAAAAATTGCCCATGTGCTCTAGATTAAATGAGAAGGCTCTGTTTGAGCTGGTGAGTTGTTGGGGTACATGTTACTAAGCTGGGTTTAAAGTTTACTTCATTATCTGCGAGGGTCATATAGAGCAGTTCATCCTTAAACACACTAAGACACCTTGTTCACTTTTTGAAGAAGTTAATTTAATTATCATTACTATACTCTATGGGGTCCCTCTCCTACCTGTCTGTATAGAAAGAGAAAATTAGACAAAGCATGCTTTTGGAAAGCAGATAGGAATTGTTTGGAATGATGTAATCTTTCTGCTGTTGTTGTTCACTTGTGATTCTACATTCCTGGTGAATGATGAATGTTACTGTCAAAGGGCTGTTCCCTATCCCATAGGGTTGCTGGGCATTTGATGGGAGGGAGAGTTTAAAAGCTAGACTGAGATTCATTTAAAATTTAGTCTTGTGAACCTGGTGATAAAGCAAAGCACAGGTTCATTTTTGTAAATAATAGCTGGTTGGGAATAGTGATATTAGACTTATCCTAATTTATGAACAAGAAATCTCTCCATGCATAGTTTGAAACACATACACACAAAAATGTTTCAATAAAAGATTGCTGCCTTGTAATGTAAATGTCATCCACTTCCCTTTTTCACAGGCCTATAGCAGTTAAAGGGAACATAATTTCTTTAGGGTCTCACATAAATGTGAATCAGGCCAATGATTTTAGTTCATCCTTTACTGAATTAAAGATTTGGCTACCCTGGGTATATTTATATTCTTTTCTTCCATTCTGCTTAATGTTACTTAATCTTCTTTTACTAAACTAATGTGAACAGTAGGGAAACAAGAACCCAAGTGCATTTCTTTGCAATTCTTGCGCCATTCCACACAATTAATACAAATAAACATTTTTAAAGCTTTTGTAGTATGTTTTTTGAGTTAACATCCTAATGAGGTAATGTGTTGTCCTCAGAAAAATTGAGGCCTGCAACACTCCTTGGAGATCAGGTGAGGGTTGGTTTGGGGGATGGGATAGTGCTGTTGCAGTTCTTTTCTTGAAAAACTGGATGGAGTTGTTGGGGTGGCACAGTGGCCCGAGCAGCCACTTCACTTCTATTTCCTTGGTTTTACAATCACTGACCCTTAACAGCTGTATTTGGATACATCATATATAACATGCCAGGAAAGAGAAAAGTTTTATAATGAAAATCTGTTTGAATTTGTAAAATAAAGTGACCATAGTTCTATTCTATAATACTATGTAATTCAGTGGTAATGGTAATAGTGGTCATGGGTAGCAAGGATGAACTTAAACTTGACCTAGAATTTGTGGTAGTTGCCAAAGAGGTTCTGCCATATGGTCCTAATAAACATATTCACAGAGTCTTCCTGACCCAGGCCATCTTTGAGGCAGCATGGTCTGGGACAGTGGTTCTTAACCTTGGCTTCACAATGGAAACTTAGAATAAATACTGATCCCTATGTCCTCCTGCCCCAAGATCTGATTAGTCTGGAGTATAGCCCGGACATAGGTTTGTTTTAAATGTCCAGGTGATTTTTTATGTGCAACCATGGTTGAGAGCCATTGGTTTGGAGTTCAAAACTAGATTGGGGTTCAGAAGACCTGGAGAATCTTAGCTCTGCCATTTAGCTTGCCGTAGGTCTTTGAATAAATCATTTAACCCACAGGCCTCAAGTTTTCTCGATATGTATCTTTTCCAGCTATAAAATTCTTTGGCTATAAGGATCACATGGGAGCTCTGGTAGCATAGTGGCTAAGACACTTTGCCTGCTAACCAGACAGCTGGTGGTTCAAACCCACCAGCCACTCCTCGGAAGGAAGGTTGGGCAATCCTACTTCCGTAGTGATACTGCCTCGGAAACCCAAGGAGGGGTCGCTATGAGTTGGGTTTGACTCGACGGCACATAACAACAACAACAACATAAGGATCACATAGGTTTAATCTGAACATACTGAACGTACAAGTTGTATGTTCACTTCTGTATTCCTTTCCTGTTTTCTTCTCCCCTTCTCCTTCCTTTTGAGAATATTTTAGAACTGGGCAAATCTAGCATACTCTCTTCAAATGACCTACAGTTGTAGTACTGTATAGGATAAAATAAAAGTCCCTGCTGGCTACTTCACTTGGAAATGTTCCAGAACAAGAGCCTTCTAGACCCCAGACTGATGTTCATAGGGGAAGTTGGTTCCCTTGCAGCCGTACTCAGTCTAGCTCTCAAGCTAAACTTAAGCTGCTGTGTACCATTGGACAAGAGTGTCAAAATGAAATTTCCGTTCAGTCTGCAAAGTAAAACACCCTGAAACTTCTCCATTCAGTTTCTCTTGCTATCCAGAGGCTGTATGGAAATGAAACTTACGTTTTTGGCCATTGTCTTGGTTTTGTAGTGCTGCTATAACAGAAATACCACAAGTGGATGGCTTTAACAAACGGGAATTTATTCCCTTACAGTTTAGAAGACTAGAAGTCTAAATTCAGAGTGCCAGCTCTAGGGTGTGGTAAAGACCCCTTGACCTTGGGCTTTATTTAGCTCTGCCTCTTGTTTCAGCTCACTGGAGCTGGGGGCATCTCCTAACTTAGGCAGCTGCAGGCGGCTGAGGCTGAGGAACCCAAGGTTGACAGGTAGAGTGGTACAATCCCAAGATAACCAGGCAACACGGCAGACTACTGATTCAAGTCCGGGAACAATCTTAAGATCATCAGACAACATGTCAGGCCACTGGTTCATGTCCAAGAACTGGAAATGAAAACTTGGCCAAGTGCAGGATCCAAGTGTGCCAAAAAGCTAGAGACTGTTCTCAAAGCTTCTCCTTATATACTGGAAGAAGGCCACACCACAAAGGCAACTCTCCTTCAGCTGATTAGGTGCTTATAGCAGATTTAACCATGGAGGTGATTATACCAAACAAACACTGCCATCGAGTTGGACCTGATTCGTAGCGACCCCTCCTTGGGATTGCCTAACCTTCGCTTCCAAGGAGTGGCTTTTGGGTTTGAACTGCCAAGTGCCTTAGGCACTATGCCACCAGAGCTTGTGGAGGTGATTAGTGATTACAATGTCGTCATGTGGAATAACTGCATCCAGCTACCTAGCTACTCAAAACCCCAGCCAGGCCCAGTTGATACAGCCTTAACTACCACAGTCATAAGGTGCAGACCAGAACCCAAATTGAATTTCAGTCCATCATGTTCCCTAGGGTTAGGAATCAGGAACTTTCACCCTGCTTTTCTAATTATGTTTAATGTATTCCTAAGGTTTCAAATAATTTTTCATTATTGTTTGCCAGATCTACAAAATACAACTACTTTTGAATCTCTATTGAACCAGGAAATATTTTGCAAAGTTTTGATTCCCAACCCCTGGTCCTACATTTAGGCCAGTTGAGTTGTTCACATTTTATTATGTTATCAAAATGAAATGTGATTGATAATGTAGCACTTTTTTTGAAAAAAAAAAAAAAAGGGGGTAATAGAATTTTCAGTGCTGACCTGTGATTCAAGACCAAGTTTTTTCCTAGTCCATAGAGAAATAAGAATCATGTAGTGGGCTTTTAACAATACTATCTTTGAGTCTGACCTAATATTCTTCCAACTTTTTAAAAAAGATATTTTAAGATTAAAATGAAAAGGTAATGTTAGATAGATGGCAGTCTTCATTTTTAAATCTCCTTAGGCAACAAAAGAAAAGTTGACTCCACTATATATATATGGGAGCTCTGGTAGCATAGTGGCTAAGGCACTTGACTGCTAACCAGAAGGCTGGTGGTTCAAACCCACCAGCCACTCCTCGGAAGGAAGGTTGGGCAATCCTACTTCCGTAGTGATACTGCCTCGGAAACCCAAGGAGGGGTCGCTATGAGTCAGGGCTGACTCGACGGCATATAACAACAACAACATATATATATATATATATATATTTTCCCCCCCCCGCTCTATGACATCTCAAAAATCTGTGAACCCTTTATCTAGACTGGCCCCATTGTTTTACAGCCAGAGAAGCTGAGGCCAGGAATGGCAGTCTAATGTAGAAAAGTAAAAGCTTGAGGAAGTATTCTGTGTGTGGTCTTTTGTGGGCTAATGTATGAGTCCTTATGATCAGTAAGTTACAAAACTAAATATTTTGTATTTATTACACCCACCCACAGGAGAGCTCTGGTGGCGTAGTGCCTAAGGTATTTGACTGCTAACTAGAAGGCTGGTGGTTCAAACCCACCAGCCATCCTTGGAAGGAAGATTGGGCAATCTGCTTCTGCAGTAATACCACCTTGGAAACCCAAGAAGGGGTTGCTGTGAGTCCGATCTGACTCGACAGCAGTTTGGTTTGTTTTTTGGTATACCCACCCACAAAACCATCTAGCAGAAGTATTTTTCTTGTCCCCCTTTTCTAGATCAGGAAACTGAGTCATAAGTAAGTAGCATGTCCATAGTCACACAATTTGTAAGTGATGGAGCCAGGATTTAATCTCCAGAACTCTGCCTTCAAGAGCACACCTTCAGATAATATAGTACACTACCTGCAAGCCACAGTATCACAGATAGAGACACCTTCTATCATCTCTTCCATGTAGCCTTTCCCTAAACACCTAGCAGAGGGGCAGTGTCTGCCCAACCTTTCATAAACTCCTTTTCTTCCATCAGTACCTTGTGAATGTTTCTTTCATCACCATGCTAAGTGAAGCCTCCTGCTTGTACTGTCTGTACACACATACACTACACACACACACAGTTTTTTTCATTGTCTCCATTGGAGCACTTAGAAATCATGTCAAAGATATTTTGAAAAAGTTTTCTGACAATATGTTCCTAATGTCTTTAGATTCTATTCCAAGGAAGTCTGTTAAAGGCTAAGGAATTAATCTTTCATTTTGTTGTAATACCAACATTCAAAGGCAGCTAGTTCATCATTCTCTCCAAGTCAAAAGGTTAAGGGCCTAGACTGCTGCCCTCTAGTTTGCTGACATCTTTGGCACCCAAACAAAGAGCATTTTGCTTGATAAAAGTTAAAAAAAAAAAAAAAAAACCCATAGCGTGGACTCTGACTCATAGTGACCCCCATTAGGTTTCCAAGGCAGTGAATCTTTATGGAAATAGATTGCCCCATCTTCCTTCCATGGAGGAGCTGGTGGGTTTGAACCACCAACCTTCTGATTAGCTGTCAAATGCCTTAGGCACTGTGCCACTAACCTAAAAGGTAAGTATAAATTGCCACTATATCAGAGGCCAGTATGAATATTAGCTGGAAACAGAGCACATCACTGAGAGGTAAAGAGTTACAAGGGTAAGACTATGGGTTTTTTTGGTGGTAGTGGTAGTGGTTAGGTGCTGTCGAGTTGGCTCCAACTTACAGTGACCCTGTATACAACAGAGTGAAACACTGCAAGGTCCTGTGCCAGCCTCAAAATCCTTGCTGTACATGAGCCCATAGCTGCAGCCACTGTGTCAGTCCATCATGTTAAGGGCCTTCCCCTTCTTTGCTGACCCTCCACTTTACCAAGCATGATATCCTTCTCCAGGGAATGGTCCCTTCTGACAATATGACCAAAGTAGGTGAGATGAAGTCTGGCCATTCTCGCTTCCAAGGAGCGTTCCAGGTGTACTTCCAGGACAGATTTGTTTATTCTTCTGGTAGTCCATGGTACTTTAAGTGTTCTTCACCAACACCACAACTCAAAAGCATCGACTCTTCTTCGGTCTTTCTTGTTCATTGTCCAGCTCTCACATGCATATGAGGTGATTGAAAATATGGCTTGGATTAGGTGCACCTTAGTCTTCAAGGAGACTTTTTTTTTTTTTTTAATTGTGATTTGGGTGAAAATTTACAGAACAAATTCCCTTTCCATACAGAAGTTCACATACACTTTGTCTCATGACATTGACCACAATTTACCACAATGCAACAGCTCCCCTCCTACTTCCTCCTGATAGTTACCTCTTCCCTGTGTCCATCCCTCCATGCACTTCTGCCCCCTGAGCTGTCTCCCTGTGCGTAAACAGCTCTTCTTTCTCCCATGATTGTTCTCTCCAAGGAGTGTATATACCTCAGGTAAATGTTC